TAATTTATCTCAAAACCCAGCATTTTAATTTCTCAGAAACGATCATTGCGGGAAAATTGTGTGCTGGGACTAAGATTTTTTAAGGATCGATGCGATAAAACGATAGTTCGAGGAACGATAGAAGCGGGAAAATGTAACATTATTTTATATGGGATGTATTCGGGACCGAACAAAACGGACGATGCATCCGGGAAAACGATAGTTCCGGGAACGATGGATAGAGGTTTCACTGTATCTCCAAATATCTTGCTATGATGACAATAACTTGAATGTTTTGTTTCAAAAGAAGGAAACACTTCAATCCTATCAGCGAAATATGATACAGTGATAAAATACATTGATTTAATAGCAGCTTCAGCTTACATGAGATAAAAAGTAAGACATTTCACTACAGAGTTTGATGAAATATTACTGAGTAAGACTTGAGGTTCTCACAGCGGTGAGTATGAAGATATCCATCTTCTGGGTTATTGCGCTGTGTAGTCTGGTCGATGTTAACCAACGTTTCAGAGGTCATACTGCCTCCATCATCAGAGTTGAAGATTTCTGTCTTCTGGGTTGTTGCGCTGTGTAGTCTGGTCGATGTTAACATCGACCAGACTACACAGCGCAATAACCCAGAAGACGGATATCTTCAAATATTACTGACTTTTTATTTTGTAAAAGACATTCTGAGTGATGATGCTTTTTGTACAGGCTACAATGGAAATGCAAATTAAACAAACATACATCAGCCAGAGTAAAAAGCTCCCTTTCCCACATTTTCCATGGAACAGTGAGCATAATATCACATTCTGATTTTCACAGTGATAAATTAAAATTATAAAACAGATACAGATAGTAATACTAGATGTCTAAGTACGATTTGCTAAAACAAAGAGGCAGAAGAACCCAGAACAGTAAACGTGACACAGCAATGAATGGGCCAAACACATCACTAAATGCACACTTTGTAAAACTACTTCATGAATCAAATAGCAATAACTGTATACAAAGACTTCACTGTAGCAAACGTCAGAATATTCAGTTGCTCGACTTCATTATATGGAAATTCTTTACACAGAATTATAGCCTATATAAACGTGTCACGTTAACAGCAAACGTAGTGCAGAGAAAACAAAGAGGGACTTGAAATGAATGCAACACATCAGCTTAGAAACACAGATTAGAGTACCTGGAATCCCAGTTGTCTGATCCTGGGTCATATTTATATGTAGGACGGAAAGTGATATTCCCCTCCTGGTAGCCTGCATATACATTTTTTAAACTATGCTGCTGACAGAGTTGATCATACTCCAGCAGTGGCAGATAATTGCCTTGGTCGATGTAGTCTTTCACTAACCGAGGGTCCAAATCTGTTATGCGATAATTCAGATCTCCCAGCCAATACACCTGACTACAAAAACAAAAATTCAACATGTATATTTGTATAGTATTTAATATTCACAATATATTCTGAAGTATCTGGACTAATTAAGACAAGGCATAAACAATACAAACACCAAAAATTATTTTATTTTTAACTCATAACATCTGACATAAGAAGAACTCACTTTAGCATCATGAAAATAAGTACGAGCTTCTGCCGCTAGGGGGGGCGGGCTACATTCATAGTGAATCAGTGTGCCAGCCGGCATCATCGAATTAGCATTTGTTTCTTAGTTACGGGCGTTTTGGTAGTGCATTACACCGACCCTCCTGCGATTTCGGAATGGCGTGTGCATCAAATTTTGTCAAAGACTCGCCAAAACGGCTACGGAAACCTGTGAAATGCTAAAGCAAGCATTTGGGGAGTCCGCAATGGGTCGTGCACAAACTTTTGTGTGGCATTCACGTTTTAAAAATGGCCGAACCTCTGTCGATGATGACGAGCGTTCTGGACGACCATCTTCGAGCACAACGCCCGAAACTGTTACGAAGATCGACGTCGTACCATCAACGACTTGTGCGGCATTGTTGGGATAGGCTATGGGACCTGTCCGCTGATTCTAAAGGAAGAACTCCACATGCGACGCATAATGACAACGCGCCAGCGCACACCGCCCTCAAAGTTCGGCAGTTTTTGGCCTCAAACACCATGGCCGTCATCCTGCACCCTCCTTATTCGCCGGATTTAGCTTCGTGTGACTTCTTCCTCTTCCCAAAGTTGAAAATTCAGCTAAAGGGAAGGAGATTTGAGACGATAGAAGAGATTCAGGCAGAATCGCAGATGGTGCTTGACAGGCTGACAAAGAAAGATTTCCAGGGATGCTTCCAGGCTTGGCAGCGGCGCTGGGATCGTTGTGTTCACTCCCAGGGGAACTACTTCAAGGGTGATGGATGAATTTAATACCTGAGATAAGTGTACGGGTTTTTATACACGCAGTCTTGAAACTTTCCGATCGCACCTCGTACAATTGTAAACAGAACCACAGAAGAATATAGTACAGTCTAAAGCCCTTAACAAATCATGGAATATGAGACTTCCACAAGACAGAAAGGTAGAAACGTGTTGGTAAACATGAGCAAAAGATGAAAGCTCAGTTTACAAGTATCTATATTTACAGCAATGTTAATGTTTATAAACCTGCAATATTGAACAAGCACATTAAAAGGAAAAAAGTATATGGATAATCCATAAACTGAATTATTTACACATGGATAATCATGAATATACTAAATTTTATGTACTTCAAGCCCTTAGCAAATTTACTAAAAAATGAAACTCAGCATTCAAGGCAACTTACTCATGATCGTTGATGCCCTTGGGAGGCAAGAAGCGTGTGAAACTCATCCGTGAGCAGATGTCATGGTAGTCCTGGTTCCTGCGCTCGTACTCCTCCACATGTGCAGCAAGATGCGAGTTAACGAAACATAACGAAGTACTGTGGAGCTCAAAGCGCACACCCACACCACCCTTGTTGCCCTGCAACAACCAACAATCACACAATCATAACCAACCAACAAACTCACTCCCCGATTACAGAGCAACTGGCAGGTATCAAACTGTTAAAGAAATTCTATTTCTGACTTAGTTATATCACGATTTGTTATAATTCCTTAAAGTATATAATACTGGTCTTCTTAAAATGAAAGTATCAGAAAGTAGCTCTGTTTCCATTTCCAAGCATAGGAAACTATCCAGCAATTAAGATTAGGTTTTTCGAACAAATCCTTCAGATTAGGTTACCCTTGTCTAAAAATGATCAAAATGTTCCATTTTAATAAAATAATGGTGTTAGATGAAGCCCAATAAATTACAGCAAATTATTCACTGTTAAGAAACCCAAACACATTACACAGCTGCCTGCATAAATATCTGTGTTGGCAACAAAGACACAAAACCTGCAACACATGGAATTAGCTGAAACCTGGTCGCACAGATGACTCTTACATTAATGATTACCAAAAGAATGTAAAACAGATAGAATTCGATTTACACTTTCTTCAAACTGTGAAAGACCACCGTTACTAGATTTCTGAGGAAGAACACCTTGGTCCAGCTCATGAGACACCAGTGCTCCGCAAGAGCATAGTTTTGGGAACCACTGCTCTAGCACATACCATTTTGCCCATGATGCCAGTACCAACAGTCTCTGTGGCTACGGCTCTGACATAAGCCGCATGCTGCTCCTGCACAAACACAAGCAGCATCATGCCAACCAGTCTCACAAGAGCGACCTTGTGGTATCGCGCCTTTTTGTGTAGTCCATTTAATACTGCCTCCCTGCCACACACAGAGTCACAACACTAACTTCAGGTTTTATTTTATAGTTTACAATTTTCAAGTAATTGTTTGTTTAATTTCTACACATAATCTTCAAGAACTGTTTACCTCTTCGAGAGTGACATTGTATAAACTGTTGAGGGTATGAAGCACTGCCTGAGAACTTAAACACTTTGAAAATCATAAATTTCAACTCCTAGTTACCTGAGCAACTCAATGTAGTCTCTGTGGTACATTTTCTTTGTAAACTTTATTATACTAGATGGTGCAAAAATACTACACATTTTTAACAGTAAATATGAACAGATCTAAAGATATGAATTGAACTCGCTTAAGTTGTGTCAAACAAACTTAAGTATGTACACAGAAGGATTCATCTGGTACATCTGAATCATAAAACAGAAATATATTTTCCATTCCAATAGATATTTTATTGGAAACCAATGATATATTTTATGGGGTTAATGTTATAAATAATCTCTGTTTACACTAATAAAAAGAATAACTTTCAGGGTCATTTGAACAGCTTTACCCTACAAGCGTACAGACTTGGTGTTCTTTTATAAAAATTCTGGCCACTAACGCTTATACTTATATGCCGATTTCACTGCACATGGTTACTGAAAACTTCCTTTTTGCTTGACTGCTCAATAAATTTCTGTAACATTCTTCTAGTGTAAACACCAAATGACAATGAGACCATTTATTCCACACACATAACTGGTAAAAATTTTAAAAAAATGCTCAGTAATGTGAGGGCAAATTTTGCAGTTTCTATTTAGCATTAGTAGTTCAATTCTATACCACCAGAATATAGCTGTAGTTATGAAAATGGCACAAGTCAACGACACACGACCTTCTCTTACAATCTGTCAGTCAGATATGAACAAGAAAATTTTCTTATAAGTCCACACTTAAAGAATGGTATTCCATAAAAAAAATGTCAAATTTGGAAAAATATTGGCATGTACCCCTTTCATTTCCATGCATTAAAATATTGGCAGATGTAACACTTAATGACATTTCAGGTTCACACATCAGCAAGACACAAAGGTGACAGCCTTCTGGGACATTACACAGTGTAGTCTCATAGCAGTTTACCAACATTTCTTAGGGGCTTACTGACTCAAAAGTTTATTATGAAAAATAACACAAACATCTCAATATAATTAGTCCAAAAGCTAACCCTGAAGGATTGTTGTGCCCTACATAGAAAATACAATTACAAACCATGGTTGCAAGACTTACAAAAAACAGAATTCTTCATTGTACTCTGAGGAGTTTACACTGCAGTCCCCATGCAATCTACACAAGGCTGAGCTTTAAAATGCAACAGATTGAACCAGACACACAACAAATTTACTTGTAGACACACTGTTTGGAATTAGTTTTCCTGATTGTGACGCAATGCAGTCTAGAAGGTAATGCCAACATTTCAAAGGAAAATACCACCCCCCATAGTCAGCACCTCCTACACTTAAAGATGGAGGCGACTCATCCCTATGTATGTTGGTAACCACCTGCAAGACTACTACATCACATCATAACCCAGATGACACAAGCTCTGATTTTCACCACCATGAAAACCTTAAATCTCAAACACTATATGTAACGGAAAATAAATATAAAAGGTTAAAAATGGTGGACTCTTTGACAGGATGTAACCAAGCTCTGGAGTAATAACAAACTTTACTATTCTAATGTTCTTCACACAAAACTGTATGAACTACAATGTCAATTTTGGTACCACTATGAAGGTTGGTAACTCACTGCCACTCCTCCTCACGGGGCGTGTCATTGAAAAGAAATGCCTCTTTGCTGAGGTCAAGCTCCTGGAATCCAATAGCATAAATGTCTGGAGGATCAGGATCTTGAGCAAGCCACTCCGATATTCCAACTGTGGGAGGCTGACCATTCACATTCCACGTCCCAACATACACCCTGCAAGGTTAAGTGGTACACAATTATTTCCTCTGGTATACCTTCTTCTTTGTCTCTTGTAGTATTCACAACCAAGGCTTTACAGACATAACTTAAATATATTAGCCATTTAACAGAATCGACATGCCTATGGTCTAATACAACACTTCATACAAATACTTTTATATCCACAAATTGTTTCCACTAACTTAAACACTGCAAGTGGGTAAATGTATTTCTAATTTCTGTATTCCTATTCACAGTTTTTTTTTTTTTGTACTTCATAACTGTCAACAAATTCAGTCTTCTTCCTTAAAATTCTTTCCTTTCAGTGTTTCATGAATTTCTTCTACACACCACTGCATGTAACAAATTATGTTTGTTAAACTATGTTTCAGTTATTTATGTGAGATTTCAGGTTCTCATAGCAGTGAGTATGCCACTGCCCTGATGACGGATGCAAGAAGCACTCTAAAATGTCAGTTAACATCTACCAGATTACATGGCACAACAACCCAGAAGAAGCCATCTTCCTGGTCATCTATATTTCCCATCCTTCCTCTGTCATACCCATTCTAATTTTTCTGCCTCAATATTTGTCTGGCCCATTCATTCTCTATTTTACGTTGCCATGTTGAGACTAAAGCCTGTTACAGCTATTTCAGAGCTGATCCCTGTTTCAGAGAGCATGACAAATTCTCCAATTACTTCTATAGTTTTATAAAATCTATTAATGGGTAAATTTACAGTTATGAATAGTTCTTCATTCCTTTCAACATTGTGCCCCAATAATCAAATTATAAACATTATTATTATTTAGTGTTCTGTCTGACGACAGGTCCATATGAACAGGATCCTTCCATCCTTTTCTCGGACTGGGACCTGTTCATATACGTTCTTGGCAGATGATCCAGAAGTGGTTTGCCATTGCCTTCTTCTGTGATTATAAACATATACAAGTTAAATCTAAAGGACTGGTTATTAATTCACAATAACAGCAACTGTCTCCTACTCCAGCCCATACAGAAGGCACCGCTGCAGAAACACGATGTCAGAACACTTACCTCGACACTATATAGTATGAATTATGAAAAAGCTTCACTAAATAAACTATAAATAAATAAATAGAACATTTACCTTAATGCTTGTGTGTATGTGTAGTGCTGTTCCCTCATGGCCATCTGGTACTTGATAACAATCTCTCGCGCTGCAATGGGTGTAGCGCCCTTAGCAATACTCTGGCGAGGGACAGAAATCTCTGGGCTTCCTAACAACTGTGAACCCATATAAAAACAGTAGCGTATTACAATTATAAAACTGTCACTTCACAGTGTTCATAATGTCATACTGTGCAACCATTATTTTAATGAATGAATGAAAAGCACTTACAGTATCTGCAATAGATTCATCCTGTATTGTAAGCCCATCAACACCTCGCTCCATTGAGTCACCAACTGCGTTATCCATTCCTGGGCAGCTGCTTCCACTGTTGTGTGTGGATCCCGCACCTGATGCGTATTTGTGTAGCCACTGAAACTCTGGTGGTGGTCTTCGTCTTTTTCTTAACACTGCAACACAAATATCGCACAGTTTCAGCAACCCAGCTGTAATGCCATGCTTCAGGAGACCTGAGACCAGTAACAAGGTGACCCACTTGATAGCTGTAGCATAAAAGAAGTCTTTCATTAGTGCTCTTTATTACATGACTTTATTGCTATGGAATGTGTACCCAAGCATGTACATTTTGAATAATTATCACTCATTACATAACCTGTATAATAACTGTGTTCAAAGACCATACACAATAATAATCATTGTGGTTTCCATCAAGGTGAAGATTTGTATTGTATTCTGGGTTATGATGCCATGTAGTCTTGTAGGTGGTTATCATTGTTTCTGAGGAACATACTGTCCCCATTTTCTGGTTCTCTAAAATGATGGTAACCGCTCACAAGATTGCGTGATAGCATAACAATAACCACCATCCTACCATGTATTAGGCCTAACTTAGCTACTGCAAGTATTTAAAACAGAAACCTTCATCCTTTTAGACATCTTAAGAATGTTCTGCTTCTGGGTTTGATGTTTTGTAATGTACGGGGATCCTAACACAGCTCATTCTTTCAACATGTACAAGGGGTACTAAAGACTCTCTGATAACTTCTATTATTCAAACGTTACCTCACATTTTTATGGTGTAGCTCGCTTAAATGAATGGAGCTCTGAAGAAAATACTCATGTCAAAATGACATTCCCATTACAGGTGGAATAAATTCTAATGAAAAGTCTTAAGTAAAAATTTGGAACATAGCAACCTTATGATTAGACTTGCCATTTATTGAGGTACCATACTTGGGACTTCATATTCTTTCAAGGTAATACATAAACAGAAAGAAACTGATCTTAACTATGACTAATTATGTATAGTCAGTGATTTCAATCAAAAGTAAACATTTAAAGAAAGTTTCTGTACTCTAATAAAGATTTACATGAATCACAGATTTTTACTTAAGGTGCTGCCAACTCATGACACAGATGCTCAAACAAATGTGACTTGACTTAATGACATTGGCAATGGCATTCTAAATGTGGACTTATCATTTCATTATTGAAAGATCCATAAAGGCAGTCTTACTTATAACATTATATTTTTCATATTTCCGAGAAACAGTTCAATATACTTCAAAACATGTAAAATATGTGTTTTCCTGTTATCACCTTCTGCACGGAAGATCTCTCCTACAAAGTTGTTGGTTTTCATACCAGGAACCATCTCAAACAACAGCTTGAGTTTGTGTGAGGATATGTTGACATACACAACAACCCCATCTTCATCTCTAATGTCTGACTCTGCAACAGCACATGTAATTTTAGTACAGCATATCAAGTCACTCAATCACTCACGCACACAAATTCCAAGCCGGCAAAAAGTGAGACAGCAACTAGCACCTGAATTTAGAAACATGAGACTTGTAAGTTGATTGATCAGCGACTGCTTTAAAATATTATTTCAACAATCTGTACAAGAAATGATTTTCAGAAAGAAGCCACAAAACTTTATTTAAACATTTTACTGCTACTAGATTTCCACCACAGGCCTACATCACACAAGTGCACATTTTTTGTATGATATATGAAGTCTGATTATTATATGAATCTTTCTTCTAAAAAAAGCAGGAAAAATTAGTTTTAATTAGTTTCGTGTCAGACTGTCAGAAAAGAATTGACAATACATTTTTCAGTAAATCTGAAAAAAATGGGAACATTAGAAAATTATGAAACAAAGGTAACAATGAGTAGACCACAGGTTTTGTGGGGGATATGATTTCAAAACAGACGGTATTAAAGATGACAAAAGATCCAGCAAATTCATGAACTCATCTAAATGTGAATAAGTAAAAAATATTAATCAGGTTTCATCTAGCAGCAGCAGATTTTACCATTAATTAACAGAGAAACTGTGACAATGACAAAAAACTGTCAACACTCAGGAACATTTCTTACATGAAGCCTTATAATATCATAGAGGAAGGATAATCCATAAAAGACTGAAAAAAACGACACTTTCCATTATTATAAAGTCAGAAAGGAAAATTACTGACAGGAATAAAATGTAATCACAAAAAAGGAAGAAATTTAGTACAGTGTGCAGGTAAAATGGAAAATGTAATTTTCCATCTTTTCAATAATTCACTGATATTGTCTACAATATTTAAATTAATATAAGCTTCCACTCTGATGTAACATATTTCACCTGGTCATAAGCCATAACATAGCAGAACGCACTTCTTCATCAAAAACTAGGACAGAGTAGGAAGGGAAACAAATGGAATCACGCAAATATACACAGGAAAATGAGGAAGTAATGACTTCATGATATATCTTCAACTCTTTAGCTGTGTATTCAAGTACAATGGTTTACAGTTACTCTTCAGCTGGACTTGTAATCCTGGGGTCTCGGGTTCGATTCCCGGTGGTGCCCGAATTTATAACTTGTGTTGGGCAAGGCCGTGGTCTAGGCAACACGGAGTTTTCCTCCGGGGGCTTCCCCGGTTTCTCCGTGGCATCCCAACAATTACTCCATACTCCATACACACAGAAGAAGGCAATGGCAAACCACTTCTGGATCATCTGCCAAGAACGTATATGAAAAGGTCCCAGTCCGAGAAAAGGAAGGAAGGATCCTGTTCATATGGACCTGTCCTCAGACAGAATACTAAATAATAACAGTAAACTCCCAATTATATGCAGCACTGTAAGACACTTCAAAACAACAGACAATCTAAAAAATAAAATAATAATTTGCTCTAGAGTTCTAGGTGCTGATCCAGAGTCTACATAACACCAGTCTGTCATAAAAATGTGTTCTCTTCCACATATTGAAGTAATCCTTCAATTGACCAAAGAGCAGTTGAAAAGCCAACTTGTTTTCAGGAATGAAACCTGTCTCTTCTTTTTCACTTTCATATGTTTGAACTCTCCAGCCATGTTGGTCAGTGCCTCATATCTAGGACTATATAAACTTCACACTACTGTTCACTATTCTCAATGCTGACATTCTCACAATCATCTGCATGTTTCAAGATGGCTGCAGAACTGTTACCAAGTGTCCATGTTCCTCACTGTCTGGAAATATTTTTTACCATGATATGGTAACTGACTGTTACATACTCTCAAAAGTAAATCACACCAAACAACCGTAAAAATCTCAGAAGTTTCAACAAAATCCCACTTTCACATTCATGCTAAACCTGGCTGCACACAGAGCAGGTTTATCACCCTCTTTGATGCAACTCATGAACCAATTGCAAAATGGAAGCATGGTGTGGAAAGAGAGAGATGTTTCAAGCGTGACAAACACATCCTTTAAGGTTATTAAACAGGGTAAAAAGGCGAGAGATACAGCACACAAACAGATGAGCTGGGCACTGCACTTTATATTAAGATGTACACTAGTTCATCTGAAAACTGGATATTCCACTCCACAATAACTGACAGACTGGTGTAGCATTTTTCACAAACAAATAAGTCATGCTATAAGCGCAAGAGATACCTGTGTGACTCAACTGTAAAGCTGGCTACACACGTACAGGTATACCTGTCAGGTATGCCTGAACAGACGCGCCTCTCAGGTATACCTCAACGTGTGTAGCCGGCTTTAGGCTTATTTTTTATAAAATGTGAAGAATATCATCCCCGATCTATTCCAGTTGTAAAGAGCAACTGTATTTAAAAGGGCAGGTTAATGTTGCTTTCTTATCTAGGTCATAGGGTGTAATATGTGATCACATAACAGTGCTATACAATTAAATACACCACATGCAAGGAATGAACAATACCCTCACTTTCAAGCCTGCAATATGTTCAAGCTGTAATATTTTGTATATGCATAAAGCATTCCTTTTAGAAAAGTGTACAAGTGTCCAGCATGTGGAATTTTTACATGACTAACCCTGCATTAGTTCAGAACTGCAAATACATATTGATTCTCTCCAGACACTACCACTTCCAAAATTATAATGTTCAAAATGACAGGTCTCACAATCAAGATTTTTTTACATATTCTACAAGATATTTAGTGAACCAGTTCAAACAGGCTAGTAAACATACTGTTTCTGGAAACGTGAAATCCAAGTCAATCCCAAACATATAACCTAGTCAATTAATAGACCAGTTCATATAACAATTTACAGTTACGATATCAAACAATGAACAAAATTAGCCCATACATAAAATTAAATTCTACAGACTGATATAACATTCCGAAAGAAAACTGTCATTCTCAACATCTGCTCAAGTTGTATGTGTCAAGTGTATGTAAAATAATGGGACAGAATTGGAGTTCGCTGTGTAAAGAACAATCAAAATATCTTCACTACTGCATCACATTGCACAAAGCATTTCTTACACAAAAACTAGGGCAAAAGGACTTCACATACTCACCAATCTCACATCCGAAATCTGCATCGACAGGAAGTACTCTTTCTATTGCCAGGTCAGAAATCAGCTGAGGAGGCATACGTGAGCTCATGAACACAAACACTGCATAGTTGTTGTCATGCTCAGCCAGTGCAAGAACACGTGATGAGCGCACCCACCCTTGCATAAGGTTTGCCTCATGCACATTGGCAATATTAAGGAATAATAAAATGTGTTTACAAAATGAATATATACATAACTTCATATTTACATCTGTCAAATGTTTGTTTATAAAAAGTGTAGTAGTAATCCAGCTGTTTCAGTCCCAAACTGCTAAGCAAATTACTGTAATGATTACACCACAGAATTAACTATTTCAGTATCATCCTCCAAAGAATCAACACAGGCAACAAAGGACACTGAATTCTTATTTGAATATGAATTACTCAGGAATTAAATATTTATACTTAGCTCCTCTGCTGTCATAGCTATTTATCTCTCCCTCCAGGGAGCAATTCTGCAATATTACAAAATGCAGATATGCCAGCTGCAGAAAACTCACAAAAATTACAACATAAATTAAGAAACTTATCATCATTCTACTCAATTCTAGAGCAACGAGAATTAAGAAAAGACTCATGTTCTGCAAGAGATGAATGGCCTCAATCAGACGGCCAAAGCCTGAACTATAGATTTCTCTGTACACACTTCAACCTTCAACTCTGTTAGTACTTAGACCGTTAGAATATTCTAAATGCAAGACCCTTATCACGATTCAGAGCCACAATATGCTGTTCATCCAAGATTTCAGTTATCACAGTCTAAACAAACTTTAAAGACACTTTTGTTACATAAAAGGAACAAAAAGCCTTCAATACCTGAGCTTCACATGCACCGAGTTTTGAGAAAAAAAATTTTTTGTTCCCCTTTTGTATTTTCCATTCTTTTCTTTGTATCAATAATAATGTAACTATATGACAGTTCATTAGCAAATAAAAGCTCATCATTTAAATATGTACATTATATCAAATTGTGTACCAAGTGATACGTTCTGCATACAACAACAAAAAATTATGTGTAGGATTTGAGGTTTTCATAGCAGTGAGTCTGAAGATGGTTATCTTCTGGGTTGTTGCGCAGTGTAGTCTGGTAGAAGTTTACTGAAGTTTCAGAGGTCCTTGCTGCATCAGGGGCTGATGATGGAGGCAGCCAAGGGCCTCTGAAACGTCAGTAAACTTCTACCGGACTACACGGTGCAACCCAGAAGACAGCAATCTTAAAAAAAAGTACATGTTACAACTATTTCACTGCCATTTATAGCTCTGAAAATGGAGTGACCAATATAGTTAAAAACGGTTTATTTCTTACGTATTATAAAAAATTGTTAAAATTTGTTGTTGTGTAGATTTAGATTGTTTTCAATTATTTGTGCATACTCTTCAGCACTTTACAACTCAGTGTTTATAAAATTCATTGTTTGGTTTGCCCAACACCATGAAACAATGGACTGCAATTGGTCAGCTACCATATTTTGATATTAACAGCAATATGTTTCATAAAATGCTACGGCAGAAAACAAACATTGAGAATTTTCATTTTCAGTATGACACATTAACCTCACAAAACGATGACAGGAACAGAAGAATAAACCGAGCAGTTAGAAAACAAAGCTCATGATTGCATTGTCTTTATTTCGTGTACACATAAGCAAGCATCAATCTCTCTTATGCCATGATAATGGAGGCAGTGACATTTCTCTAAAATACCGGTGCACAGCCAAAATACTACATGGTATAACAACCCATAAAATCGCTGATTTTCACTTTCACATTGTCATGGAAACCTCAAATCTTAGTCTGACCCTCTCTTGAACAGACAGCCTACGATGAGAGACAGGTATGGAGATTTATTCCTACATTCTTCACAACAGAATGCAGCTTTGTCATCTAACAACATCTCCACATATCATTACATTACTGTGTCATCCCACTTCTGAAAGTATTCCAACAGCTTCTCAATGTGTTGCAGAGCTTCACTGTGTACCATTTTTACATTCATCACAAGCTCCTTATTGCCGCAACTACTAACAGCAAGATCCTGCTCCTCAAATTCATCTTTTGTGATGGTATCCATCAACTACGATACTGTAACTGAAGTTGCGGGACCATCAATTCTACGATCATCCACCGCCCTGTCCTCATTTTCTTCCACCAAGACTCCTCACATTCAACTTCAACAACACTTTCATTTACTGATTCATACAGCAGAACTGGTTTCACATTCATATACAAGTAAACAATTTCAAACAGTATCCTTTCAGACTAAAGTATTGGAAATGTTTGCACGCCTACACTGCCTTTTTTTCAGATTATGTAGAATGCACACTTTGTACTGATGTTTCAATATTCCTGCAACCATGTACCACAGTTTTGGCCCTGAAGGAAAATCTTATGAGCATTATGTGGAAGAGTAATACAGTGACTGTGTAGAATTATAAGACTGTCCATTAGCACTAACTTACTGTAAAAGCACTCATAACATAATTTCTCACTCATTCATGCAAACTCATGGCTGTTGTAATCAACACGAAAATACTTCAGCTTTGTTCCTTTATTGATACTATCTCCTTTTCCATACCAACATAAACAAGTGGCAATTTTGATGCCAAGGCAAGTTCAAAAACCACTTGAACTTTGTTATTATCTCAAGTTTCTTTCCTGCCTCCTCCTGTACTATTCTGTCGTTCCACGGTCATTTTGACTAAGCTGTTAATAAAACAATGTTTAAAAGGATTCTGTAACGGCATTCTCGCCAGAACTCAGCTTGGCCTGCACAATAGCCAGCTGATCCTTGATGCCAGCTAACTCTTCCTCCTGTCTGTAATACAAATAACATACTACACACACGGACATAGTCCTGGTGCCACGCAATCACAAACAAATTATGGAGTCAACTGGCACAGCAGTAATGCATATGACTCCTGTTAAATTAATAAAATCACCAGTAATGATTGTTATTTAATTGCAAGCAAGCAAGTTAGCCCATGTGGTAATGCATCAAGCTCGTATTGAGGTGCCTGGTTTATACATAACAGGACAATGACAAATATATGTCATGCCCTGTGGTACTGATAGAAACTTACTCAAATTTAATCCATAAATTCATTCTACCTACACTATCCATTACAACCTCAACTAACAGGACTGATGGGTAATGTGTGCATATTCCAGAGCTACAGATTTTCATAATTTTTCTTAGTCCATCCAGACAAATGCCAGAATATAATTCTGAGGTAGGTCATAACACTTCCTCTTCAATTACTGAACATTGACCAAATGTGATTCTCTTGTCATAATTCAAATTAAATAACTTATACAGTTGACATGGCATCTTTAAATAACCTATATTCCACTCAACTGCCATGCAAAAAATGTTGCTGTATTTACAATTTCATGAACTATGTTACACCTCAATGTGCAATCTTCCATCCAAACAGAGAAATGGGACATTAAATACTAATAACAATAGTATTTGTATTCACTAAAACAGAACAACAATTTAGAATCAGTGGGGCACATATCTGGCCTTTTACTGTGCCCAAAAGACAGAGATGGTATTTATATACAAGGTGAATGTACATTTTTAGTGGACAACAATCTCAAAATTGTTACAGCATTGCAACAAAGAACATAAAAACACATGCTGCACAACAATGTGAAACTACACTAAACCAACCTTCTCCTGCAACATGCATTTTAAACTACATCAGCACAATACAAATCTGTCTCAACCTTTAACAGTCATGTGTCATGACATACCCAGACAAGGTGTGCCACAGTAGCACCATCAGACTACTGAACCCCAGAGTCAAGAGTCCAGATGGCAGCCTCATAGCACCATATTTTAAATTCCCCATTCTTGTACAATACAGGTTCAACACAAAAATGATGGCAAAAAATTTACACTTTGTTCCAATTCACTCACTCTGCCTGACAGCATTAACATTAACCAAAACTAAGTTTGACAGAATTTTTAACATTTACAAAAGCTGGCAAATCAGTAAAACTATACTACAGGAGTGCCACGTGTAATTTTATATTAGATGCACAATTAGTATGTGAAGCAGAAGAAATATGGAAGATACTTTGTCCACATGAGAAAAGATAGTACAGGAAGTGAAACAGATTCCTATCTAAATTTAAAAAAGGAAATCTGGATATTAAAATAAATACTGCAAATATTTTACTATAGAACTTGAATATCTAAAATCTGTGGTAGATGTCAAGTGTTGATAGTTTTGAAGCTTGCGGACGCTCTCATCCACCCTTCTCCAGAAAGAAAGTTTAGTATTGCTAGGGAAAGTCGGGCTGCATGATTAAACTTGCATTGAATCTTATGAGTGAACAACTTTGTTTGTGAAGTTCCATACAAGTAACTCAATTGCAATAATTTTTACAACGATGCGAGTGAAAAGTGATGGCCAGTAGAACACAGAAAGTGGATAAATAAAAATGCTAAATCCTATGCCATATTTCCAAACCAGATATTTAACAGAGAAAACTTCAAACCACATAAATAAAAGTTTTAAATGTTATTTTGATTAATGTAAACCAGAAGAATTTCTTTGTTATGTGTGTTAAAGTAAGCAGGCAAGCATCTTCTGAAAATTAACTACAGAATGGAATTATAAAATCACTCCATCTCTTACCTGTATCCAACTAATAAATCAACTGAGGTTCTGCCAAATTAAACACTCTGTGATAAACATTGCAATTTGAATACAAGTACATCAGACTCTAAAAATATTTTTATCATAACATACTACAAACAACGAAACAGAAATCTCTAATGATCAAAGTACTCATCTACAGACCTGTACAAATCCCACTGCAGTATTTATATGTACATTCACATTCACGTAAGCAACACTTAATTGTATAGAGACTTAAGGTAAGTGCACTATGTACAACTTAGATCAGGACAACTGCACAAAACCTGAATGTGTTCTCAACTGTTTGCATGGGTAATCACACTCACCCATGTGTAAACATCATAAAAAAGATGACAGGAAATATAACGCAAGCACACAGAGCTCAACGCATCCAGAATTCATCACTGCACAGTCCTTAATTCTAAGCACAGACCAAGTGTGCTACAGAGTCTTTCTGTAAGCTATGGAACACAATTCAGTTACACAGGATACAAATTTTTCATGGCAATAAAATGTGGATTGCAGTCTCCTGGATTGTCCTCTATGCATTTACCAACATTTTGTAAGGACACATCACCTCCATCTTCTACCCTGACACTGGAAGCAACCTACAAGACTGCAAGGCATCAAAAGCCAGAAGACCAGTTTCTATATTGATATTAAATTTTGTATTAGAGGCTACAGTATAGTTGTCAGATATTTGTTTTGTTACACATCATTCCCCCCACTATAAATCAAGCAAACCCATAATGTAAACTTCAACACTTTTACCAAAAATGTACACCATGCAAAACTTGGTATAAATCTCATTAAGATATACAATTTTTACATCAAACTTTTTATATCATAAAAAAGCAAAAAAGTAAAGCTAGCCTGCTATACACATTGTAGGTGCTTGGGGGGAGAGAAGGTGTAGCTCCTACTCATTCTTAACCTCAGCACTAGGTAGGTGAGAGTGGTCAGCATTGTGCCCTGGCTGTGCTTTATCCCTGGGAAAGGACCCTGGTACCCATTGGACAGGATGCTGGGTGGAACTCAGAGCCTGTCTGAATGCAGAGGCTAAGGAAAAGTCCTCTGCCCCTGTTGGGGATCAAAACAATGGTCACCCAGTCCATAGTCAGTAACTACACTGGCTGAGCTACCCCGGCACCTAACTATATAATGAATATTTAAACTACACGTAAATAATATGTCTGTAGTGGAGAATTTTTTGTATAGAACAGAATAGAATATAATTTACTTACAATCCACAGATCCTTCATAGGCCCAACCCACAGGACAAATACAATACTTGTTTCTAATACAATTATAAATTACACAGATATGAAGTAATTTACATTCAGCTACAGTGTTACCACAAAAATATTACACAAGAAAGCATAACCACTGTTCCTTACATGTATTTATAACAGCTGAGAATTTTGGTTGTGGTAGATTCTTCTATGGAGTAGGGGTGAGATAGAAGATACCTTTTAGTGCTGCCTTAAACTTCTTTATATCATAATTCAGACTTTTTATAGCGGAGGGAAGATTATTGAATAGCTTAATTCCAGTACAGTAACCTGCATTTTGATACGTAGTGAATTTAGTGTTTGGCAAGTGGTTATATCTTTATCTTGTACTTATATTGTGGATGTCTGAGTTTGTTTGAAAATTTTCTATGCTGTGTATTACAAATGATAATAATGAGACCAAGAATATGCTGGTTAGTGGAAGAATACAACATTTTATAAACAATTCCCCACATGAGGCTCTCCTTTTAGTGCCTGCCATTATTCTAATGATTCTCTTTTCTAATTTAAAATACTTTTCTGCTGTCTGTTGAGTTTCCCCAGAAAATAATTCCTTACAAAATATTCAAATGGAAGTAAGCTAAGTAGACTAATCTTAAAGTTTCTCTTTCCATGAATGATACTGAAGTCTTCATAGCAAATTAAGCTGAACTTAGTTTAGGGATAATGTATTGAATATATTTTTCTAATTAAAGTTATTGTCAATTTGTAGGCCAAGAAATTCAGATGTTTCTACTTCTTCATTTGTTTCATCTTCTTATCTTCATAGTCTGTACCTAGATTAACACAATTTTTCTTGGTAGTAAAACATTTCATGAAATTTGTTTGTCAAAATTTAATACAAGTTTATTGGCTTTAACCCATTTGTTCAAGCTAGCAAAGACATCATTCTTGCACGTATGGAAGCAGTCAATTTCTGGATGTAAAATAGTGTTAGTATCATCTGCAAAAAGTATGGATTTAGACTGAGAGATTATGGTTCTCAGTTAATCATTATATGAGGAGCAAGTACTAATCCTTGAGGAACTCCATGTTTTTGTATTGTCCCAATTTGAACAGCTGCTATTATTTGAATCTGGTGAGTTTATTCCTGCTTGCTTCAAAGATTTTTAAGCCTTGGACTCCAACATTTTGTTCTGAACAGAAGGTTTTAACTTTTCCAAATGATCGTATCCTAAGGGAGTCCTGATATCACAAATTCTGCTACATACGCCATATCCAATTTAAACATTGAAGTGGTCTCTACAAAATTAAGCCCTTTCTTTAGAACAGAACAGAACATGCATGCCCTGCCCATCTTATCCCACTTAATCTGATGACCCTAAAATGCTTTGTTAAGAGTAAGACTATTATAATCAAGATATTTAATTTAAAACCACACAAAAATCTGTCTTATGAAGAGGCAAAAATATAATAGGTAAATGCACTCATACAAAAATAAAAGAAATTAGACCTACATTAATCTTACTGTTATAATTACTGTAACTGAGGGAAAAAAAGAGAAATATAGTGGTTAAGCTGGAGAAACAGTTAAGACAGCACAAATTAAGAGGTAGTCCACTAAATACCTTCTACAGACAAACCCAAGAAAACATGTTTTTTTCCTTAGAACAGAATGACTCATACAGCTGAAAAAACACAGTGAACCTCATGTTTGGTGCAGAAACATAATGACACAAGATAAGTCTCAAAACGTGGAAAGAAAAAGCTATCCCTTCACCTTGGTAAAACTCAACCATTCTTAACTTCGTTATTAGGAGGTGCATGTTTAGCTTCATGCTCCAATCAATTTCATAGTTAAGAAGGCAGTCCCCAGAGCCCACTCAACACATGGTTGAATGTATCCCAAAGCCTTATGCCCATGATGGAATAATTAAAAATTCCATGTCTGGAATCAAGCCCTTGCCACCCAGTCAGAAATAGTTGTGGCAACCTTACCCTTCATTAAAGACGTCCTTAGCTCTAAACATCATAGAATATTTCTGCTTCCTCATTGTGTTGATGAATACTTGAACCCCTAACTTCAATCTGCCAACATAACATACATAAATACATGTCATTGAAAGTACTATCACAGTTGCGGCCAAACCCTTCAATCAATTCCTTATCGACCTACCTTTCTGAAGTGCTACTACGTAATATGCTGACAATAGCACAAATGATATTATGTATCTGACACAAATCACGATTAACAGAACCTTCCTTAACGACAATATCCTGAAAACACACACTGTATTTGATACGTACACACAACACTCACCTGTACCTGCCAAAGATCACAGTTTCACTCCGTGCAGAGTAGAGTAGAGTAGAGTTTATTTACATTCCATAGATCCTTCTTAGGACTCAACCAAAGGATGTAGAACATGTCATTCCATACACTATACATACACTTCATCAGCATCGATTATTACTAATTAAATCACAAATAATAAAACTTTTACACCATACACCAAATTTAATTCGAAGTCAGCTGAACCAAACATGCCTATACTGCCTATGTTCTCCTGTAAATTGATTGTTCTATGTATCATTATAGATGGCTCTTGCGTAATCTCACTGTTACATTCTCGATTAGACCACCAATTGTATAAACTGTGAAATCGAATGAAGACTGTTATCTTCGTACCACCGTAAAAACCTCAGTTCCTTATTAGGGTCTCTATGGTCTATAATCTGTGATGTTGCAATGTTCGACAAATTTTGAAATTGACAAAGGAGTCATTACACGTAAATTGTTAATGTTTCAGGCGTGTTCCAGATTGTCTAAGATTGTATTACAGACACCTTGGTACGAATTTGGTGAGCTTCATACATATTATGTGTTGTGATTCGTTCTGTTAAATGCGAGCAGACTTTTATCCTAATACAGTGGATTCTGGTTAATTTGGACACAGCGGGACTAGAACACTTTGGCCCAATTAAGCGGCTGCCCCAGTTATGCGAAGTTCCACGTAAAGAGTTAAAAAAGATTTGTTCCAAATAAACTGCTGCCCCAATTAACCGATGGCCCAATTAACCGGAATATACTGTATTTGTGTATGTATACTGACAGGACCAGGTTACTTGTGAGATCCTAGCGCGGATTGAAGAACAAAGTGATCCGTACTATGTGCTCATCTCCACGCTTTTCTTAGCTTTCAAAAACATTGTCATTCTTATCTGTGGTCCATAATTTGTATATTTGTAATAATGGTTGACACTTGTTGCAATTGGCAGAATCCATGTCAATGTTATAGTAGTTTTTGAGATTGCCTGAGGTTATGTTTGAGACGCCTTAGTATGAATTTGCTGAGCTTCATGCATGATGGGACCAGCTTACTTGCAAGTTTTCCTAGTGCAGAGAGAAGGACAATGTGAAAACTGCACACACATCTCCACACTTCTATCTTTCAAAAACATTGCCTTGAGGATGGAGGCAGCAAGCACCTCTGAAACATAGGTATAAACGTCTACCAGACTACACTTTGCAACAACCTAGAAGACAGCATCTACAACTTGCTGCTGTAAGAAAACTGCATTTTCTGTTGAATAATAGAGCAAGGCGAATCGTCAAGAAGACCTGATAAAGTGATCTACATCAAGGAAGCAGATTATTAGAAGGGGATTTGAGTTTTAAAATGCTGAAACACAAAATAAGTGTTCACATGTTCCTATATAGAAAGGAACAGGTGTGAACCAAGCCATCATTATGGGGTTTGGAAAATGAGTAAAGAAAGGCCACATGGCCCATAAAGAACATTGGCAAGAAAAGGTAAGATTGTTGTTTAATTTTTGCTGTTGCTAACATGTGATTTTTCATTGCAGAAGTGTGGGTGACAATTCAGATTTACCTTTATTATGTGAATATCTAAATTTTTGTTCTCAGTATTATTTACATTACCATTAGAAGAAGAAACATTTTATTGCAGGCATAGTAAACTGGAAATGTTGTAACTGATGACTTCAGTAGGAGTTATACGAAATGTTATACAAGAGTTTCTGTTAGAAAAAGTCTTAATGACAGTGTGTAAACAAATGCCAGTTCTACATGAGAAAATCAATTGGAGGTGGAATAAACTGAAAGAGACTCCTAAAAGAAATGGGCTTTGCCTGGAAGACATCTGAAAATAACTGACTTGTCCTCAAAGAGCATGCTGACATTGGACTACAGAGAAACTTGTGATATCCAAATGAGAAAATTATGTTTATGGAACTGGTTGAAGCCCATAGACCAAAAGATAAAATTTTCAGGGTGGACTAGTTGAAACAGCTTGGTAATGAGGTTTCTCATTTACCATGAATTGAATATACTCAAATTGGTATGGGAAACATTGTATGTAAGACCACTATGGCCAGTGCGTTTTCTTTGCAGGCTATGCGGTTACAGACAAAGCAATCCTGTTTCACAGCAAGACTGGGAAGGGTAATGTAGCCATGTTGCAAAACTAGAGGAACAGTATTGGGAGAATGACTGCAGCATTAAGCAAATTGTTAACATAATTATTATTAATGCAAGTTATGATAGGAACAGAAGAAACATTTTGTATTTCAGAGAGGACAATGGAATGTCTGTCAAGAGTGATAGATTGTGCCTAGCCAAGCCATTGCATATTCCAGTAATATAAATGTTTGGACATGATCGGTAATTTTACATGTGACAAGTATGCCATGTTTTATATTACTTTTACCATACTAATGCTTTTCAAATACAAAAAGATAAAACTGTATTCTCATTGTTAATATATGTTAAGTGTATGTTGCAGACTTCCCTAGTATAATATATGAATTTGTCAATTGTGTACATAATCTTCTGTTATAAAAATTTGTGATTTCGTCGTCGTCAATAAATTACGTCATCAATCAACAATGTCAACAGATATTTGTTTATACTCGGCATTGTTGTGTTCCACAACAATGCCGAGTAAACAAATAACGCTTCACTACCAAGCCAGTTGCATGATCACAGCTCCAGAAGCAGCACGTCGCATCTTCTCTACTATAAAAATTTGTGATTTCGTCGTCGTCAATAAATTACGTCATCAACAATGTCAACTATAAACAAACTCGGCATTGTTGTGGGGTTGGTTGCTTTTTAAAAACTTGATCAGCCCCTCCAAGGAGCTCCGAAAGGAGCGTTCTCCCCTAGTATTTATAAAAGGAAAAGAATCTTCAGTCATATTGGTATCCTTGCAATGGTTCCACAGTAAATATATTTACTGCCAAATATTCACCCACAGGTTTTCTGACCCCAATCCATGTTGCCTGGCCATTCCATGCATCAGCCAGGTCATGCCGAGTGCACCTATCTACAGTACTAGGGAACTCAGCTAACAAGTACTCTGGTCCAAGCAATACATCTTAATTGTTGATATGCACATCATCTTAATTCTTTTCTCAAATAAAATTGTGTTTGCTTAGAAGTAAATAAGTTTGTGGTTACTTGTTAGGGAGGAGGAACATGGGAAGGACCTCAAGAAAATAAAATAAATTTCTTACATAATTTGGGAAGTGTCTTTCTGTAAATTGTAGTACCATAAATTAAAATTGTTAAGAAAATCAGAGAACCTTTTAAAAGTGTTAACAATTTCAGCTAAGATTGTAGTTTATACCACATGATTTAGGATTTATTTTATAATTTAAGGGGGAAACTAGGTTCATTTGTGTTTAATCAGAAAATATATGCTAGGTATAGTGTTCTCAAACATTATGGAATGTTCAGCTATTTATGTATTCCATTAATTCTGTCTCAACAAGTTGCATCAGTACACACCAACTTCATGGAGTCACAAGTTCTGCAAGATACAGTCAAGCCTTTCCGAGTATCAATAGAAGGAAACATTGGTGCAGGGAAGAGCGAAATGATCAAACATTTCTCAGGCTTTACTGATGTAAATGCTCACATGGTAAGTTTATACACAAAGTATCAGAAACACTAAGTTTTCTTTCCTTTGGTCTTCCAGTGGCTAAGTTGTAGAAAGTCTAGAGTTTGTTTTATCTAATAAGCAGTTCAAGAGAGTATTTTTCAGGTTAGGAATTTGGTATATCTGTTCTACAGCAACTATGATGGTTGTACTTAACTTAACCTAAAGTTTGGCAATGAATTAATATAAAGTCAATGAAGCATGCAAAATCATACGTAACATATTTCTAAATTTGTGTACTACTCACAAATACTCAGGAGCAACATTGAATACCAGCTTATTTTCAGTAGTTCCATATGTATATATTTATTTCTCACTTGTTCTTTTTAATTAAAGCATTTAGTTTTGGTTCTCTTCACTACAGTGAAAGAATTAAAAGGAAAGATGGAGTGTCATTCTCAGTGAATGAGAATGAAAAATGACATATTGGTACCTTTATACTTAATGTATGAGTAAGCAGAGGTTAGTGTTGCAACAACGGTCTTGGATATTATTGTTTCATCTGTTATTCCCTTAATAGCCCATGATGTGGTGTAAAGAATGCCTTTGGAATTTTAGTGCATTATGAAGAGCACACATTTCTAGTCTTGTGAAAAGAGCAGTGTATGCACAATAAAGATGTTAGTACATTAAACAGGAATGTCGTACAGTATGAGGTGTTTCTGAAAGTGGTATTCCATTATAGAAGTAATTTTCAAAGCGGTTTTACTAAGATATGCTGAAGGGCAGTTTGTCCTTTCTCTTGCAGGAACCAGTTTCTGAGTGGTGCAATGTGCAAGGACACAATCTGCTGGAACTCCTGTACAAGAACCTCAACAGACATAACTTCATGTTCCAGAATTATGTCCAGCTGACTCGACTCAAGACACAGATGCATCAGACAAACAAAAGAGTCCACATGTTTGAGCGATCTCTCCAAAGTAACAGGTGATGGAAACATGCATATGCTCTTATTTTAGGGCACATTAACATATTGACATTGACCTTAATTTACCAGAAAATGTTTGGCCAGATTTAATTTTTTCCCAAAACATTTTGTGATTCTTCAAGTATATTTTTTGGATAATTTCATATGTATTAAGTTTAATTTCATATTGATATTTCTGTCCTTTATGTTCATTGTTCATATATGGTAACACAGATTCTGCTTTGTGGAGATGGCTCACAATTGCGGTCAGCTATTAGGTGCAGAGTATGTTGTCCTCTGCAAGTGGTATGAATGGATGCAACAGAATTTTGACATCCAGCTTGACTTAATAGGTAAGTAATGTGATGAGTTTGTAGCCACACACATTTCATACCTTAGAATTTGTCTCTAAACACAGAAGAGCAAACTGTGCATTATGCACAAAACAGCTCTGCAAGGATACAGAGTGCTGTAATATTACTTATTTTAAATATATTGGTGGCACTAATTTTTGTAATCACACATATACAGTCCACAACTGTAATCTTGAGACTTGTGGGGTGGAGGAAAGATAGCATCTGCCTTTAACGCTACTGACTTCCTGCATTCCTTCAAAGTATCAAGATTACAGTCGTGGACTATAAGACCTAATGTTTATGTTCTGTGGGAAAGGTTAAACATAATATTTCCAGCTGAGGAATTCTAAAGTATATATGCATTTTGTAACAGTGTATCTTCGCGGTAGTCCAGAATTATGTTATGAAAGGGTCCAGAGGCGCAAACGCCCAGAAGAAAGTTCTGTATCTCTTGGCTATATGCAGAAACTGCACGAAAGTTACGAGCATTGGCTACTCCAAACTAAACCTACTGCACCTGTATTGGTGATTGACGTAAACAAGGAAATGGATCGAGTGAAGCAAGATTATATCAGATACCAGAGCTACATCCTGGGACACACAAAGTTGAATTCTGATACCGTCAAATGGGGGCCATTTGAGGAAAGTATAATAGTGTGAGCAGTGATTTTGAAACTTTTCTAAGAATTTTTTTACAAGTAATACTCATGATATTCACAAAAATAAATACAGCAAATATAATAAGAGATTTTTGTTTGAAAACTTAAATAGTGTTTCTACTGTAACAATCATATATATAAATAGAAAACTTGGAAAATGCTTTGGGTGTTGCTGTTCTGTTTCTTACAAGATGAGAACCAAACTCTCATCAAAAGGCTCAAAATAAATTTATACAAGGGTCATATTTATTATTAAACCATGGCTAGCATTTTTCCTCTGCACCAAACAAACAATGCTTATCTACTTCTGAAGGCACCGTCAACTCAATTCACAGCCTCACCGGTGAAATACACAAATAAGAGAACTTAAAGTACAACAATTAAATTAAATATTATGTTCAACAAAGGATCTTTATGATACCTTTTGTAAATCATACATAGAAAACACTATATTATATATTATAATAGAGTAAAAGAACTCTCATACAGTGGATATGAAAATGACACATTTATGAGTGAGTAGATATTGGTCAACATTAGTGCTCATTTAAAAGCAGGATGCATTGCAATTGATTCTTCAGTGTGGCATGTCAAAAAGCTCAATTTACACTAAAAGAAAACTGTGAAAGCTACAACACTAGACCCATCACAGGTCAGTTACACCCATAAAGGGGGATGGAAAGGGGACTCTGAAGTTTTCCATTCTGATGCCAGAATTTCTGCCATTTTCATCATAAGATTTGTCATGTCTGTCTGTGATTACCACATCAGTTCTTCTCATTTTATTCCAAATTTATAGATTTCATAGATATTAAGGCCAAAAACATGTATTATATTCCTGTCTGGTGCTATCCTATGACTGCTGTGGACAGTCTGAACAGTTCATAAATACGCATGAACATCATCAACTATTTCTGAAAATATACATCAGTCATTAAAAGAAGTAATTTGTGAAGTTCTGTGAATGCACTAAACAAAATATTTTGGATTTCTTTGATTATTTGTGTCTTCTCCCCATTATCAGCCCAGATAATTGGGAGTTAACTATAGTCTGATGACAGAAGAGACAGAACTTTAACACTTACACATATGCATACTTGGAAAGAAATGACACGACTTCTAGATACCAGGGCCTCATCATAAAGCTCTAAGTCCCCTCCAATAACAATCATTCTCAGTATCACCCTATCAATTGGAGTAATGAAATCCATCCAAATTGAAAAGTGGATTCTACATTCTTGTCTAGATGGACAAAGTTTAGGAAGGTCATCACATGCCATACCTGAAGGTATTAGATACACAATTTTTAATAAAATTTTATTCAAATTATGCAGGCAAGTCCTATAACAGAACACAAGGATAAGATTCATATGACATTAAGAACAGTGGCAAAAATGCCTGTTATCATAAACACCCAAAGCATTAAAAATGTAATTTGACATTAGTCTCCAAGCCTGCAATGAAAGTCTTGGTATGACAGCAATTTTTGTAACAGTTCTGTATAATAATTGTATTAGTTACTACATCTCCTACAAACTCTTTAAATAAAATAGTTTAAACAATTGTTATGCCTAATGGTCAAAATTTACCAGTGAAAAGTTTCCTCTGTTCCCAGTAACTCGTGTATCTTACCAACTTAAATCTCCTTCAGTATCATGTTTCTCCACCTGCCCATCTACAGAGTTTCCACTGCCATTGTCTAAATGAGACACATGAGAAAGAAGCAAGCAGAATTCAGACAAAATAAATGGGTGATAAATATATCTTGGAATATTTGCATCAGAATGTTACTCTGAGCTGAATCCAACAAGAGAGCTCTTCTTATTCTTTAATTTCTTTAAAAAAAATTGTGCATATGTATGGCCACTGAAAATGTTTGCTGAACAATGTTCTATAGCATGAGATATAAGCCCCAATTTGGATAAATAATGATGTGGGGTAGGATGATCAGCAGTGATTATAATTACACATTATGCACTAGGCAGCCTTTCAAACACATCATCAAGCAAGCCAGTCCGGAGATAGGGATTAGCTCAATATATTGGGCCCAACAGAGTAGGTACCTGAAGACGGAGATAGAGCCCCATCACCAAAACGTCTTCTATTTTATTATTTCTTAGATGGAAAATATCCAAGAAAATTTTTATTCAAATATACTGGGGAAGAACTACAACAAGAATATTTTACATCTCTTTGGTTGGCAACATTAAGTACTGAGGAAAGCTATGGTGTGTTAATGACATACATGGCACCACTCATTAGGGAGGGCTACTATTAAAGTGGCAAGTATTTTGCCACAGCATGTCTCCATTCCCCTTTCAGCAAATTCAGGTTCTTTCCTTCTAACTCCACATCTGCCTTCAGGTTCTGAAATCAGTATAAAGCCATGTCACAATTTAAATCGAATTGTAGTGTTATCAGAATTATCTAACAGAATTCACAAAAGTCTTAATTGTTTATGAAGCACTGCTTTCTTATAACAGTGGTAATTTGGACAACTGTGGAAGCCAACGTAACCATGGTAACCTTAAGTTAGATTAGGGCAAGTGATACAAGAGGTGGTAAGGAAAGACTACGTCTAGTAAGATGAGGTTGGGGTAGGTTAGGCTACATATTTAGAAACCAAAATTTTCAATTGTGTTCCAATACGAATTATACCTTTGCAGTCTTGTTAATTTCTTTTATTGCCTTCCATTATAATTCATTAATTTTATAGTCTGTTATACTGAGGTTTACTATACTAATTTAAAATTTGTTAAACTAAAGTCCTAATACTTGGGGGTTTCTTTTAATTGGAGCTTTGATCACACTAACAGAATAAAGTTATTACCTGAGCCATACTGAAGATGGTACAATTAATCAGAACAGTTTTCTTGAAGTTGTTTTCTTCATTCAAAAGCTGAGCCAGGCTTTGTTTTAAGTGGTGCAACAATTTAATGTCTTTACACCTGATATGCATTGTACTGAATTCTGCATTCAGCAGTAGCTTGATACAGTGGCAGCCAATGTACAACTGCAATTCTCTTCCTGTCATGACCTGCATATTATTAAACATAAATTACTAAATCCCTCTACAGTACTTTGTAACTGTTATGGTAGTTTATAAGGAAGGATGCGGGGGAAGAAAGGAGAATTCAAACATCTAGCATTATCACAAACACCCATAACTACGAGGGGCAGTCAAAAAGTTCCCGGAATTGTGGTATAGCACTATAATGGTAGGACATATGGCAACGCTTACCTAATCACCTTCAAAGTAGGCCCCTTGCGCGCACACACACTTGCTCCATCAATCCTGCCATTGTTGGAAGCACCAGTGGAACGCTTCGTTTGGAATCTTCCGGAGTTCGGC